ACTTTCCCTTTCTTGTCACTGGCAAATGGGCGGGGGGGTGATGATAGCAGCTGTGTTTATTACCGGGGTATATTGTTCTTTTACGGTATGTTAGACAGGTTTATAATACATTTTTATTATTTTAATATACCGGTAATCTTAATTTTAAACCAGCTTCCCAAACGTAAGTTTCAGTATAAAATAATTAGTGGTAGGACCTTGAGTGGTTTACGATGTTTCCATCACCACTCTTGACATGCTAAACCGCAATATTTAAGAGGTAAGACTTTTATATCTAGTGCTTTAAGACGACCCCCTAACTTTGGGCTAATTTTTTTATGGTTCAAATTCCTTCTTATAGGCCGAGATATACGGTAAATTATTTCTGCAATTGCTCACAAGCAAAACACATAAATCAATTGAACATGTGATGTCGAATGTGAACTGTAAACACTGCATAACCCCGCACCAAGCCACAACAACCGTTCGAGTGGAATCGCGTTAGAGCAAACGCGTTTTACAAATATTGTTCCTCTATTCATCAATCGCGTTAGAGCCAACTCGCGTTGTCAAAACACGCGTTATAGCAGAACTCCCTGTAGCCCCCATAATACAATTTTTTTTTCTGTTGTGCAAAATAAATGATGTCTATATTCAAATTATTCGCTGTCTTGCAAGGATACCACCATTGCAATTAATATTCTGCTAACTTTAGTCTATGGCATTTTATAAGATAAAAACTTTAAGCTTAAAACCACTTTCAATCTTGCCGGAAGTGGAGGGGGGAGGTGATGTATAATGACAGCTGGGTCGGGAGTGAGGACAACGGTTATCTAATGGTATTTATTTATCTGTCATATATGGGAAGTTTAAGTTTTTCTCTTATAAAATGTCAAAGAATTGACTTAAAAGAATATAATTAACAATGCTGGAATTCTTGTAAGATAGCGATTAATTTGAATATAAACATGTTATAGTTCACAATAGACATAATAATTTTAGTACTAATTACATGCACTGTACAGTAGTACATTTTAGTACAAAGGTCTAAAATTTTTATCTCTTGTGCAAAATATATGATGTATATATTCAAATTGTTCGCTATCTTGCAAGGATTCCAGCAATGTAATTTATATTCTGCTAACTTTAGACTGTGCCATTTTATGTCAAGTTTAGTCACTTTTATTGGCCTCCAGAACCTAACCCTATTTTCTCCATTGATTACATGGAATTAAATATTGCAATTTAGTATATAGTGAACATCCTTGGACCCTATCTCGCGATATATCCCGACCCGACTGTACCCGGAAAATTCTGGCTATGGGAGATTTTTTTCCAGGTTTAAGAGATGAAAATCAGGAGCATTTTCTGGAAATTCTGAGAACAATTTTCTGACATCTGGAAAATTCCGGGATTGGGGAATATTTTTCCGGGTTCAAGAGATGATGTAATGCACAATTTCCAGAACTTCCGACAATATTTTTTCCGTTACCCGGAAATTCCGGGAATGAGGTTTATTTCCCAGCTTTGAGAGAGTCGTCTCATTACCCGAAAATCTCTATGCTGCATAAACTAGTTTTCGTACGGAACTGCTACGAACCAATGTACTTTTGCCGGATTTTAAAAATAACTGACCTTGTTCATGGGATACATAACTCAGCACCAGGTGATACAATATTTCAGCAACATTGAAGAACACAAGGATGCTTTAATGAGTGCTGAGCCCAACTTGCAACACAGTGATGAACTTAGTGCACAGTTAGGCAGTTTGGTAGAACCCTACAGGCAATGTTACCAGGAGTTTAAATGCAGTCACGAAGCTCTCATCACCGCCTATTTCATGCCTCAACAATTCAAGGAGAATCCAGTGACGATGACCCTGTCACTCTGGAGATTGTTGATGAAGCTGAAGTCGCTTTACAAGTGTCTGCAGTTGATTTTGAAGCTTTTAAACCGACTAGCTTTTACCTCCACTGTTTCCCAGAGCTTTCCACACCTCCACAATTCGGAGAAAATGGTGGAGTAGAGCATAATTAACTTCCTGGGCTTTCTTAAATTATTTATTTAATAGTGTAGATGCAGTTTATGTAATAGTACGAGTCATTTTTCGAAGGTTACGTTGGTTACCCAAAGTTCTTCAAGAGTAAAGGTATGGTGAGTCCAGTACAATATAGCAATTTTAACACATGTTAAAGGGCATAGCTTGCGCAGATTTCCGATACATGGACGTGTATTAAAGTGAATCAATTGAAAATTATTGATTTAAAGCAACACCCACAATTAAGGACACCTTATCACTTTAAAGCGAATCTTTCTTATTTTACGAGAGTCAAATCTGGAGCGGATTACCCAGGGGGTTAGGTTACAATTTTAAATTTCAAGCTCAAAATTTTCAAAATGGGTCGTAAGTACGCCAAACGCTAGCCCTCCAAACGCTCCACCCCTGCCATCCCACCCACTGTCTTCAGTTGCTGCATGGGTATTGGGTATTGTCAGAGTAACACCTGCCTCTCGTGTGTGTCAATTTGGTGCGCTTAAACCTCTCTCATACTCGTTCATAATGCCCAAATAAAAGCCAACTCTGTACTGTACATGTACTCAAATGTACTAAATGATTACAAAGATTTTTATGTCTAGTTCAAACTATAGCATATTTAAATTCAAATTAATCAGTATCTTACAAGAATCCCAGCAATGTAAGTTATATTCTCCCAGGTCAGTTCAGTGACATTTTATAAGAGAAAACCAAAAACTCACTGTAAAGGTCAGATAAAAAAAAAAAAAATACACTACTTCACTAGACCTCCCACCCCTTATAACATATCACAGACTAAAGTTAGAAGAATATAACCTGCATTGCTGGAATCCTTGCAAGGCAGCGAATAATTTGAAAATTGACATCATATATTTTGCACAAGAGGTAAAAATTTTAGTACATTAGTGTAGTACATTTTAGTTATGTACAAGTTTTCAACTGTATTTTTGGGTAGATTTATAAAACTTTCTTCATTTATTTTTACTCCTTTACAAGCACACACACTCTTAAAAAAAGTAAAAGAAATAATTGTCCTGTACTGTACTCAAATGTACTAAATCATTACTAAAATGTTTATGTCTAATGCAAACTATAGCATGTTTATATTCAAATTAATCACTGTCTTATAAGAATTCCATCAATGTAAGTTATATTCTCCTCGGTCAATTCGGTAACATTTTATAATAAAAAAACAGATAAGACACACACCTCCCCCTTCCCAGGGGCAAAGGTAGTTTGAGGCTCAAACTTTTTATCTTATAAAATGTCAGAGACTAAAGTTAGGAGAATAAAATTTTCATTGCTGGAATCCTTGCAAGATGGAGAATAATTTGAATGTAGACATTTCACACACCTCAAATAAGGGATAAGGGATTGTGGACCTGTATTACATTACAGTCGTGATTGATGAGTTCTAGTGTATCTGGGTAGACTCTCAGTTGGAGCAGTGGGAGGACCAGCAAAAAGTAATGAAAAACTAAGCTGAGAGGAAAGTGAAAGTGCTTGGTGAGTCAGATGAGGCGAGTGATGCGCGGCGCCAGCGAGACCACCCTCTCACATCAGCTGATTGCTAGTAAACAGACCATTTCGCATCCCGTAATATTAGCTGTGTTGATTTATGAGTGTTTGTTTTAGCATAATACTACAAAAAACAATGTTTTGTTTATTCTAGGAGATGGGCTGAGGTGCATCTGGGTAGACTCTGTCTTTTTAGTATTTTGTGTTTCTCTCAAGTACCAAACTAAAAATTATTCCATTGAAACAACATTTCGATTAAGTGCAAATTCGGTTGAAAACGACCTCTCTTGGAATGTATCTTGTGTTATATCGACGTTCTACTGTACCAGTATGATATACCCACGCAAAATGAGACCCCACTGTACTGTAGTCTTTAATGAGGATACTGTACAGTGTTCTACTCAGATTTGATATAGGCCTAATGAGAGCTAATAGGTACAAGAGATGACACTAAGTTTCATGTGTAAACGTGCTGGAGGAGGGAGGGGGTGACTGGCCATTACAGCGTTTGCCAGTTTTTATTTGTTCATTATTATATTCTCATATGATCAGCTAAACTAATCATTATCTTATAAGAATTCCAGCAATGCAAATTAAATTCACCCCAGTCACTTCTATTAAATTTTATAAGCTAAAAACAAAAACTCAATCTAAAAGAAAAAAATGAACTAACAATTAAATACTTCACACCACAGGTGCCAACTGTCAAACATGTCACTGTCACCCCTCCCTTCCTACCCCCACCTTCCTGAGAAATGTTTGGGTAAAAAGACTAGGTTTACAGGTTTAAAAATAAATAATACCCCAGACTAAAGTTAGGATAATATAATTTGCATTGCTGAAATCCTTGCAAGACAGGGAATATTTTGAATATAATCTTCATATATTTTGCACAAAAGATAAAATTTTTGCTCTCCCTAATAAAATTCTTAAATTAGATCTAAAATTTGTATGTCTAATGCAAATTTTAGCTTGTTTATATTCATATTAATCACTATCTTATAAGAATTCCAGCAATGTAAATTATATTCTGGCTTTACTTTGTATATACTTTTCTGTGAGCTGGAACCAATTACCCAATATCCCATTGAAACAATGGTTTCAGTTAATGAAATTTTCGGTTAACGAACGACCTTCTGGAACAAATTGTGTTCCTTAACCGAGGGACCACTGTACACACACACACACACACACACACTGTATACACAAAATACTGCATTATATAATTTTATGACTACCCTGGATGATGTTGCCAAAATGTAAGTGAATAATTTGTAGTATTCTGATAACAATGATAAATTAAAGATTTGACCTTATTTAGACATATTTCCCTTGAAGTAGTTGGGAATGTCAGTACTTAATCCTGACCCTCTAATTTCTTCTACTAAACCAAATAATTTTTGTGTTTGTTTTATACCTGTATACCATTTTAACTGATTCTTCATTATTCATTAACTAATGCACATACTTGCTTCTGTGTCATGCGAGCACGGACAAAGGGTACATTCTGTAGAGTCTGAAGAATGGAGAGATGAAGCTGGGAATACAAATCAGTACTTTCTGATGGTGCAGACTTCACTGAAGTAGTATTCTCAAATAATCCTTCTGTTTCCATAATTTTTGGCAAACTGGATCTTCTTCCATGTGGGTCTGGGTAATTATCATTATTATCAAAGAAAGGGGCTTCTACACACCATCTGAAACATGAGAAAAAGAATCATGGGCTTGAAAAACTGCATGGAGGAGTGGTTATCTTTCTTAGATGCAGAAGAGATTGAAGGCAAAAATATACATGACAGATGATTTTATAAAATAAATTTGTCAATGGACACCCTTCCATCTCTCTGCAGTTTCATTTTTAATACCCAAATCTTTGTACAAAAGATAATTCTGGGAGCATGGGTACTAGATGTACTATGCACTAGCACACAGCCCCAATACCCATAGGGTGCTTGCATTATCAAGAGGTTTCATTCATGTATTGTTTAATGTACCATCTCCTTACTGTCTTAGCATAATGGTGCCAAGTAAATAACCTGACATTGTCCTCCTTAGCTAGATGTCCTAGGGAAATGGTACTTACAGTATGCTGATATCCAAGTTGGATATAATATGGTGACTCAAGAGTGGGGTGTTGACAGCATCACTTGGCTCTCCACCCTCTCCCCACACCAAAAGTTTTGATGTTTTCTCCTATAATTTCATATTAATGTGTACGTACTCATCAACATATTTCTGTGATGTACAGTTGACCACACCTACACCTGGTATCATTAACATTACCAATCCTCTCTCCAAGATGTGTGAACCCTAAGAGTATCAAAGTAGGGAGTGCAGTTAAATACTGTATAGGTTGTAACAATTACGTAGTTTAGTCTGAGTATAAATTGGGTGTCCTTTACAGAACCCACATATTAAGACTGAATATTATGAGCAGGTCCAAATGATAAATATATATCCTAAGTCTCATAGTAGTTTTGTAATGATCGGTAAAAATAATACAGTACTGTACTGTATAATACTGAATGGGTGAGCTGCCAAGAAGAATAGCTTAGTCCATGTATGATCACTTATTTATCAAAGACTACATTGGTGGCTTTATGACATAATATGTGCAGATATAAATATTTTTAAAACAAACCCTGATAATTTACATGTAGACAATCAAATATGATATATGAGGAATAATAGATTGTGGACGAGTCCTTAATTTACTCCACACACTACCTATTTATGTGTAAATACTGTACAGTAATACCCCGCTTAACACGGTTTCGCTTAGCGCGATTTCACGTATACGCGGTGCCTCGCCAGAGCTGAACTTTCACTTAACGCGGGTTTTTTCCACGTATACGCACAGTGTCCGGCTCAAGAGCTATTTTTAGATTCGCCCCACCCCCCACCTGCCTGCCTGTTTTAGCTCATAAAATTCATACAAATTACCCAGCCAGAATATAATTTACATTGCTGGAATTCTTACAATATGATGATCATTTTGAATATAAACATCATAGATTTTGCATTAGACATACAAATTTTAGATATAATGTTTACTCTGAGTAAATGTTATTTTTTGTGCAAAATATATGACATTTGTATTCAAAATATTCCTGGTCTTACAAGGAATCCAGCAATGTCAATTTTATTATCCTAACTTTAATCTGAGGTATTATTTATTACTAAAAAGGTAAATATTCTGGTTTTCCCAAACATCTGGTAGGGACGGTTGGTGGGGGGTGGGGGGGGAGGGAGGGACCGACCGACCATCTGTTACCGTGTGAAGAATATTTTTTTTTTATTAACTGAAGATATTTGTTTTAGCTCATAAAATTCATACAAATTACCCGGTCAGAATATAATTTACATTGCTGGAATTCTTATAATTTGATGATCATTTTGAATATAAACATCATAGATTTTGCATTAGACATACAAATTTTAGATGTAATGTTTACTCTGAGTAAATATGTTATCTTTTGTGCAAAATATATGACATTTATATTCAAAATATTCCTGGTCTTACAAGGAATCCAGCAATGTCAATTATATTATCCTAACTTTAATCTGAGGTATTATTTAATACAAAATGTTAAAATTTAGTTTTTTCACCCAACCTTTCTCTTGAAGGGAGGATTGGTGGGGGGTGGGGGGGAGGGTTGGGACTGACCGCGCGGTTGGAAGAGGGGGGGAGGCAAGGTGGGGTACTTTGATTGACAGATAGTGTCGTGAAGAATATTTTTTTTTTATTAACTGAAGATATTTGTTTTAGCTCATAAAATTCATACAAATTACCCGGCCAGAATATAATTTACATTGCTGGAATTCTTACAATTTGGTGATCATTTTGAATATAAACATCATAGATTTTGCATTAGACATACAAATTTTAGATATAATGTTTACTCTGAGTAAATATGTTATCTTTTGTGCAAAATATATGACATTTATATTCAAAATATTCCTGGTCTTACAAGGAATCCAGCAATGTCAATTGTATTATCCTAACTTTAGTTTGAGTTATTATTTATTAAAATTTAGTGGTTTTCCCCCAAAAATTTCTCAGAGAGGGAAGAGCCAGCAGTGTAGTGTGAGAAGAGGGGGAGGGAGTTGAGTCCATTATTTGAATGGACATTAACGACTGTATTTCTCTATTTCTCTTAAGTATTAATTGTGTGCATGTACCAATGTACCATCATAAAATTAAGATGTTATTTTTACTAGAACATAGGTACTGTATTGTGTCGGTAAAAGTGGAGTTTGGGGGTCGGGCCAGTTTCTATTGGAATTAATCCCATATGTTCTGTTGTTCATTTAGAGTGGTTTTCACTTAACACGGTACCCTGTGGGTTTTATTGACCTATTGACCGCGTTAAGCGGGGTACTACTGTATTTACAAAGAATAAATCTACCAGTTTTCTTTCAATGGTAAAAAACTGTGCCTGTTAAGCGGGGTACTACTGTATTTACAAAGAATAAATCTACCAGTTTTCTTTCAATGGTAAAAAACCGACAGGCACAGTGTAAGAGATGGTAGAATAAATGTGGGTTACAGTAAGCTTTATCATGGTGTGTGGTGTGAGTAAGGTTGTATGGTGGTATCAGGAATGGTCTTCACATATTTGCTCTTCAAACTTGGTACAGTATGGGATCTTTTATCTGGAATGCTTTTAGTATCCTGGTGGTCCAGCGGTTAGCGTTCCCCGGTCACAGTCATAGGCTTGTGGGCCGTGGGTTCGAATCCTGGCGGGTTGAGGTGTTGATTGTATGTAGAAGTCCGCGTGCTTTATTGGGCTAATGAAATATATATGGATCCTCGTGTTTCGAAGCCGGATTTGGTATAACGTTACTCTGACCACCTAAGTGATACGGGTGGTCCCCATTAGAGGTTCACGGCGCCATAAGCTCGCTGAACAGTCTTTGTGTAAAATATAACAAAGTCTAGGACTGCTTTTAGTATCGTGGTGGTCCAGCGGTTAGCGTTCCCCGGTCACAGTCATAGGCTTGTGGGCCGTGGGTTCGAATCCTTGCGGGTTGAGGTGTTGATTGTATGTAGAAGTCCGCGTGCTTCATTGGGCTAATGAAATATATATGGATCCTCGTGTTTCGAAGCCGGATTTGGTAAAACGTTACTCTGACCACCTAAGTGATACGGGTGGTCCCCATTAGAGGTTCACGGCGCCATAAGCTCGTTGAACAGGCTTTGTGTGAAATATAACAAAGTCTAGGACTGCTTTTAGTATCCTGGTGGTCCAGCGGTTAGCGTTCCCCGGTCACAGTCATAGGCTTGTGTGCCGTGGGTTCGAATCCTGGCGGGTTGAGGTGTTGATTGTATGTAGAAGTCCGCGTGCTTTATTGGGATATATATATATATATATATATATATATATATATATATATATATATATATATATATATATATATATATATATATATATATATATATATATATATATATATATATATATATATATATATATATATATATATATATATATATATATATATATATATATATATATATATATATATATATATATATATATATATATCATGCACACAGGTGCGCGTGACCTGGAACGAATTGTGTTCGTTAACCGAGGGACCACTGTAATTGATTCTCTGGTTACACTCATTTCCAGTGAAGTAAATATCAAGAAAGTTGGTCTCTTGAATATTTCTGCATTTTTTACATTAAAATTATTGGTCATTCTGAAATTTAGTTAACATATTGAGAATTTAGACAGTACAGGGAACAGTTTTTGTGTGCCCATCAGCTGATTGAATCAACCAACACCCCTTCTCAGTTTAACTTTGTTTACAGTGGAGTGAACATCGATTTTGTTGGTCTCTGGAATATTTTTGCATTTTTACATTAAAATTATTGGTCATTCTGAAATTTAGTTAACATATTGATAATATACAGTGCAGAAATTATTATGAAATATGAAGAAGGCATTAGAACTAATGCACTCTGTAAAGAATATGGCATCATCATCGACTGCCTCTACAATCAGCTGTTTGATATGTAAACAAAGTTGCCGGTAATACGACATACTCACCTTAAAGTAAGGTAAAATACAGTATTCTATTGTTTTTTATTTATTATTATACAGTATACTGTACAGTACAGTACAGTAGAGGCAAAACTGGAATCTGAAGAGCGAATTTCGGTATGTATAGAAGTTCAATATAGAGGTAATACTATATTGTAATTTTTATTGTGGTATCTGATTAAATATCTCTAATATGAAATGTTATTAGATGCTTTTTTTTTTCTTCCCTGTTTTGGCCAAATATTTACAAAAACAAATAAAAATGCTCATGTCTTGCGGCTCTTAAACATGCGAAGATTATCGTATGTGGCTCTTAGGTTAAGCAAGTGTGGCCACCCCTGGTACAGAATATGCCTAGGTATGTGTTGACTAGCCCTTGTAATCTCACACTACTACACTGTATATAACAACCGGTGGTGCAGTTTCTATGTGACTTCCATGTCCTCCACTGCACTTATGTGTTCTGTTTATTATTGGTTTATATATTCTCAAAATTGTAATTTAAAACATATTTTGTATTATTTTAAGATTTTTTAGGATATTTTATTTCAAAGGAATGTATCTTTACTTTTATCATGCAAGTCTATGGGAAAATGTGATCCAATTTACGAACAAAATTATGAAAATCTTTTAAGAAATGGAAGCCTTTCATAAATTGAGGAATGTTTGTACCTTATCACTTTTTTTGGAAAAAACATGAAATTAACATATTTCTAGATAATTCAGAAGAAAAATTAGCAAATTATTACCTAGAAAAAAGATGTGAGAATGTAAATTATCAACCAATCAATCAAATACCTCTACTGCTCTTTCAGCTTCATGTGAATAGATCAAGAGAAGGGATACATAAACCTAAAAGAAAGCAGGAAAAAGTAAGGAAGAGTTTTGACTAAAACATTACACCTGTAATGTATATACCCAGGTATGTGCTGGTCGTTCTTTTGTGTTACTACCTCCAAATTATCATGGGTGTTGTGTATACTGGCCTTCACACAGGCTAACTATCACTTCACTTACTTCATAAGAGGTGCAATAGGAGGCACAGCTGTCATTGGAAGAGATACACCTGGCAAAGGGTTTGTGAGTGGTGCCAGGGCAAGATGGGGAGGTAAACCAGGGGCCCCTTTCAACCACCATACAACAGTGCTTACAAGAGTGTCTGGTGGGCGTTCACATATCTCTCCACTACCTGAAATTGCAAGTTATCTTACCAACACATTCAAGGAACTGATGAGAAAGTCATATCTTTTCATTTTTTTTTCTTAATTCAGAGATATCCCTTGTGCAAAATATATGGCGTTTATATTCAAATTATTCGCTGTTTTGCAAGGATTCCAGCAATGCAAATTATATTCTCCTATCTTTAGTCTGTGATATTATATAAGATAAAAACTGTAAGCCTAAAACCCTGGCTGGGGAGAGGGAGGGAGGGAGGGGGAGGTGATATGTTTGACAGTTGGCACCGAAGGTCTGATGCTTGTTTATTTATCAGTCCTTAAGTGTGACTAAACTTTTCTCTTATAAAATGCCACTGAAACGACCTGGGAGAATATAATTTACATTGCTGGGATTCTTGTAAGATAGTGATTAATATGAATATAAACAAGCTATAATTTGCACTAGTAGACATAAAAATTTTAGTACCATAATCATTTAGTACATGTACAGTACAGGTTTGCACGTACAGTAAGTCATTTATTTCCTTTATGTTTCTTTTCGCATGGTGTGTGCATGTAAATGAATAAAATTAAATTTAGAAATTTATGTAAATCTACCCAAAAATACAGTTGAAAAACTTGTACATTACTAAAATGTACTAAAATTTTTATCTTTTGTGCAAAATATATGATGTTTATATTCAAATTATTCACTGTCTCGCAATGATTCCAGCAGTGCAAATTATATTCTCGTAACTTTAGTTTGATATTATATAAGATAAAAACTTTAAGCCTAAAACTACCAAACCCTGGCTGGGAGGAGGGGGGGGGGGGATAGAGGGAGGAAGGGAGGAAGGGGAGGTGACAGTGACATGTTTGACAGTTGAGGCCGAAGGTCTAGTGAAGTATTTATTTGTTTATTTATGTCCTTTAGCTTGAGTTTTTGTTTTTTGTTTATAAAATGTCACAGAAGTGACCGGGGAGAATATAATTTACATTGCTGGAATTCTTATAAGATAGTGATTAATATGAATATAAACATGCGATAGTCTGCAGATAGTCTGCACGAGACAAAAATCTTAGTAATCATTTTGTACATTATTTTGAGTATATGTACAGTACAACTTTGCCCTTAGGACAGTGTGTGCATGTAAATGAGTAAAAATAAATGAATAAAGTTACATATACTGAGCCAAAAATATTAGTTGAAAAACTTTATGAAGACAGAGCTTGGATGGCTAAATTTTAGAATAACCAATAATTTAAATATAAAAAATGCAAAAATATTCAAGAACACAATTTTCTAGATATTTTTAATCCACTGGAAACGAATGTAAACATAGAACCAATTACTGTATTGGCGGACTAGCTGATCAGCTGATCGGCTGATGCACACAACAAAGTGTGTTTCTCCTAAGGCTTTCGTTAATCGAAGTTTTGTTAGTTAATGGAACTGAAAATCCTTATGGGAGCTAATTCGTTAACCAAAATTTCGTTAATTGAACCGTTCGTTAATCTAGGGACCACTGTACAGTAGTACCCTGATTTACGCGGTCAATTGAACCCATGGGGTACCGCGGAAAGTGAAAATCGCGTAAAGTGAACAACAGAACATATGTGATTAATTCCAATAGAGACTGGCCAGACCCCCAAACTCCACTTTTTCAGACACAATACCTATGCTGTAGTAAAAATAACATTTTAATTTTATGATGGTATGCACACACAATTAATAATTATGAGAAATATCAATAATATTAGTTTTTTTAACACTTACATTAGTAGGAAAGATGGCTGGGCACACAGGGATGGGGGGTTGGTTCCGAGGCAGAGGGCAGATTATTGGCCCTCACCTGTATCACTTGTATCAATTGTATCACTATCCACCACATAGGCTTGCAGGGCCTCTTTGTCAAACCCCTCAAAGTCCAAATAAGTCCATATCCTCACTATCACTATCACTGACTTAGGCCAGCTGTGGTGGGTGGTGGGTGAAGAACTCAGTAATGTTTTGATGACTGGGCAACCTTGTGCGCATCCTGCCCGCGCCGTTTCCCGCGTATATGAGTAGATGCACCGCGGAAAGTGAAAGTTCGGTTCTGGCGAGGCACCGCGTAAATGAGAAATCGCGGAAAGTGAAACCGCGTAAAGCGGGGTAATACTGTATATATACAGGTACAGTATATAACCTTTTATTATTAGTTTAATAAATGTTTATTCGCAGATGTCTTTTTTTTTCAAACCTGTACAGAACTTTAGTATGAAGTCAAGTGAAAAAGTTAGGTTAGGATGACTGAAACTTAATTTATTTTAAAACTGTACAGCACTTTAACATGTCATATAGTGTACTAATTTAACATGCCATATAACTCTTTAAACTTAGTACAGCTCTTCCCCGACTTAAAATGGGGTTAGGGACCCAAATACAGGTCATAAGTCGAAATGGTCGTAAATCGAAAACGCGAAATTAATACATAGAAAATCTAAAATGGGTGTGTCTTTTTCTTCTCAGCACCACATAACTCTCACTTTTAAGCTTGCCAGCCATTTTAAAGTGAATTACAAACGAAAATTTTGTCTGTGTACTGACGTTGCGACTCGAAAATAAGTAATTTGACAATATTTTGGTACAAATGAGGCAGGTCATAAGTGTGGGTGGTCGTAAGTCGAGTAGGTCGTAAGTCGGGGAGGAGCTGTAGTTTGCTTTCATTTGCACTAATGAGAGGCTCCACTGTGTGAAATTCAGAAAAGGTGAAGGTTACATTCATAAAAAATGTGCCCTGGGAGTATAGTGTCAAAATTACAACTTTCTGAATAACGTTGCACTTAATTTAGAATGTATCTATGATGTAAATCAGCAACTTGCTGTACTGTACACTTTAATGGTGCTCAATATATAATTTGTTATCAGGTATGGTCATCATTAAGATCGTGTCTAAACTGCATATCATACGCAAACAGCTAATAAACATCCAAATTATCAGATGAGTGTGTGTTTAAAAATATACTGTATACAGCTCCTCCCCGACTTACGACCTGCCTCAGTCGTACCAAAATTTGGTCAAATTACGTATTTTCGAGTCCCAAAGTCAGTACACAGACAAAATTTTCGTTTGAATTCACTTTAAAATGGCTGGCAAGCTTAAAAGTGAGAGTTATGTAGTGCTAAGAAGCAAGAGAGACACCCATTTTAGATTTTCTATGTATTATTTTCGCATTTTTGACTTACGACCATTTCGACTTACAACCTGGATTTGGGTTCCTAACCCCGTCGTAAGTCGAGGAGCAGCTGTATATATATTTTTTAGATAGTTTATAGAGATATTATCATCATTACTGCATCCTCCACTTACTGGTAATATCATCATAATTTTTGGAAAATTCATTTACACTAAATTTTTATTGATTACATTATTGTATTCTATTTTTTGCGATTATTTAATTCTTTTTGTGTTAGCCTGATTATTATATACAGGTACAGGTTATACAATTATTATTAAGGCATTTATTGAAGGTAAACCATTCAAAGGGTAGTTTTATGGAGACCAAATATGGTATTCAAGAATGTTGATATTTCAGGTACAGGTATTTCTGGAATCTACAGTACCCGGTACGTATATCCCTTTGAATGACTAAGGATACCTGTGTACAGTATACACTACATAGATACAGTACCATTTAACTTCTTTCAAAATTGCTAAATTCTATCTGCATTTTCTTCTTTTGTGATGTAAAAGGTACTGTAATTTCAATGATGGGATTACTCAATAATTTCAGTTAATTTGATCAACCCAGAGCCCCCAAAATATCAAAATAGCAAGGGTTCAGTGTAATTCCTTAGTGGGGGTTAAACATAGACTGGATCTTGCATTTTGCAGTATTGTAATAATATAATCCCTGACAGGTGGTACAGGTTCTCCAATTCGGCACTCTCAGCCCACACCAGAGAAGTTTCCGAACTACAGGTAATCAATATACCGTGCTCCCTCGGTTAACGAGCGCCTTGGTTAACGAATTACCTTCCATAATATTCTTCACTTCGGTTAACGAGCAATCCCTCGATTAATAAATTCCTTACGAGCACCCCTCAACATGCTTTTATTTGCTCACTAGCTGTCGTATTAGTCCACCAATACAGTAATCGGTTCTAGGGCTTAAATTCCTTACTATTTTAGTACATATCAAGAAGTTTGTACTATTCAATAATTTTAAAAGTCATATATTAAATTTTTTAGTCATTTTAACAATTATTTAACATAATTGAAGTAGTGGGGTATGCTATAACGAACGGATCCTACTACGAATATTCCTATAACGAACGGTTTTACCTATAAAATTGAGAATGCTATAACGAACGAAACTCCTACAACGAACATTATTTAAATTTTTTTTTTCTAATTTATTGTTTTTTTATTACAAATATTAATGATATTCTTTATTTCAGGGGTTTAGATGCATATTTATGCACTTTTTTACAATTTTTACAATTTTATATTATATTTTTCAGTGTTAAGTGGTTGTATTTGGGGGCCTGGAATGGATTAATCCTATAACGAACGAATGCTATAACGAACAAGGTTCTAGAACCAATTAGATTCGTTATAGCATACCCCACTGTACAGGGAAACTAGTTTTTAGCACGCCAAACAGCCACTCAACACACCAAACAGGCTTCAGTCTCTGTGTCTTTTCAGTGGAGGTAACATCTTGCTTCAGACTCTCTTCAACATAAACTATTTTGTTTCCATTTTTACAGTGAAATTATTGGTCATTTTGAAATTTATTTTACATATTGATGATATATAGCGCAGTGCAGTGTTGATTTAAAGAAAATATTCTTTATTTACAGCAATTAAACTAAAAATTTTCGTGTTGAAATAGTTTTTGAATCCAGCATGGGTCCCAAAAAATCCAGAAAAGCGATTTCAATCCAGGTGAAACAGGAAATTATTAAGAAACATGAAGAAGGCATTTGAACAAATGTGCTTAGCAAAGAATATGGCATGTCGACATCAACTGTGTTGACAATTCTTTCACAGAAAGACAAATTCAAGGAAGTGAAAGTGAGAGACAAATCTACCAAAGTGCTTAAAGGTAGATCCCTAATAGCAGAAACAGAGAGGTTACTTCTCATTTGGATTAGGGAAAACAAATGAAAGGTGATTCAGTTTCGACCGAATTTATTTGTGAAAGAGCCAGGGAGATTTACGAACATTTAAAGGCAGATCAACCTAGTTCTTCAGGCACAGAGTTTGAAGAGTTTAGGGCCAGCAAGGGCTGGTTTGAAAAATTTAAGAAAAGAAGTGACATTTTTAGTGTTGTTAGGCATGGTGAGGCTGCCAGTGCTGATAAGGAAGGAGCAGCAAAATTTTTAGTGGACTTTAAAGAACTGGTGGATGAAGAAAATTATCTTCCACAGCAAGTGTTCAATGTGGATGAAACTGGGCTGTTCTGGAAAAAGATGCCCAAAAGGACATTCATCACCAGAGATGAAACCTCTTTACCTGGGCATAAACCCATGAAAGACCGTCTTACTCTATTCTGTGGTGCCAATGCTTCAGGGGATTTCCGACTGAAGCCTATGCTTGTCTACCACTCTAATAATAATAATAATTAACGGTTTATTGAAAAAGTTCTGCAGCCCGAAGGCTGAAAATATACATTGGACATAAATGACTTATTACATACATTGGTGGTTTAACAAAAGCCTTCATTAGAGAAAGGTAAAGGAACATACAGTGAACATACAGATTAATGTAGGATTGTACGTGTTGAACAGCAAACACGTAGTGTAGTAACTCCCTCCCAGATGGTGTTAGGAGGGACCTCACGTGGTGTAGTAGTTCCCTCACAGGGTGTTCAAGCAACAAAAAGTGGTAAGAGGACAGCCAGGAGTTTATTGGAAGTCCAACCGTAAGACATGGATGACAAGACAGCTCTTTAATGAATGGGCAGTTGAGGTGTTTTACCCTTCTGTGAAGAGCTACCTAACCACCAATAAACTTCCTTTAAAGGTTCTTCTCCTTATGGATAATGCCCCTGGTCATGACCCTCAACTTGCCAGCACTTTGGAGTCTCAATTTGACTTTGTCAAAGTGTTGTTTTTGCCTCACAACACTACATCAATCATACAGCCAATGGACCAGAATGTGATCAGCAACTTTAAGAAGCTGTACATAAAGAAAATGTTCAGGAGGTGTCATCAGGCAACTTCCACTGATCCTGAACTAACACTGGCACAGTTCTGGAAAACACAATTTAACATCCTTGAGGCTGTAAAATTGATTGTGTCCTCATGGCAAGAAGTCTCCACTAGATCCCTCAATTCTGCATGGAAAGCACTGTGGCCATCAGTAGTCCATGATTTTGAGGAATTTAAGGAAGAAGCAGAGTTGGACCAGGAGATTGTGTCCATTGGTCAGTCATTGAGCCTTGAAGTGGAGGAGGATGATGTAGAAGAGCTTGTGATGTCTCATGAGCAGGAACTTACTCCTGAAGACTTGCAGCAACTGGATGAGATGTTAGAGGCTAACAGTGGTGAGGAGGAAAAGGAAAGTGATGACCATATGTCTACTTCAGATTTGAAAGATGATGTTCATTACTGGAAAACAGGCTTCAAGGCATTCTAATGTGGAAAAAGCAGAACTTGCTTTGTGTAATGTTGAGGACACAGTGGTCTCCTTCTTCAAACATCAGTTAATGATGAGGAGGAGAGATGCCCCACAAACAAAAATTGACAGTTTCTTCACTAAAAAGCAGCGGGAAACAGATGCTAGCCCTCAGCCTTCCACTTCAAGGAGAGAGGATGTTCCTGCTGGAGAATCTGTCAGTCCAGAGGTTCCCGACATTTTCATGGAAGGTGACTCACCTTCCAAGAAGCAGTAAAAAGCTTCTCCTCCACCTCCACTTCCTTCTCTTCTCCCTTCTCCTCCTCCACCTCCCACTTCAAATTCACATCATCATCATCATCATCCAGGAGCCTTCTACATACACACCTCAAAGTAAGTGTACTTTACTACCTTTTTTGTTGACTTTATGCAATTTTCAGTGAGCTGGAACCAATTACCCAAAAACCCATTGAAACAATGGTTTCGGTTAACGAATTTTTCGGTTAACAAGCAACCTTCTGGAACGAATTGTGCTCGTTAACCGAGGGACCACTGTACATAGTAAAGTAGCAAAAATGATACAAGTTCATGTATACACAGCTTCGGGAACACTGGGCTGGTTTTGACGGTCGCCACAACAATGCAGCATAGCTAGAACACTGCCTCTGCCTTCCCCCCTAGCAACAGGACTCCTTTACTCTGCTTCCCACCCCGCTCAGCATGCTAATTCTCGCACACAAAGAAATATGTATTCCCTTTATGTATTTGACCTTATGATAATTTTTTTATTCACATTCTGCATGTAGGATTGTGTGTGAAAGTAAATGAGTAGAAAAAATTTAGAAACTTTAGTACTGTATAACTACTGTACATGAATTTACAAATTGGAAAATAACCATAACATAGCTCACAGGTTGGCCTGATAGTGAGAGAGCTAAGGGAAGGTGGCTACAGTGATGAGTCTAACTTGGAAATAATGCTACCAGTGATGGTAACAGATGCAAACAAAAAGAAAATCATCTGTAAATCTTCATTTCTATCAGGTATTTGTAGATTTAAAGTGGCATATATAAGGAATGAGGTTTTGCTCTTCCTGTGGCAACATAAAGAATCAAAAGGAGTACAATAGGCAAGCCCAGGATAAAGGAGCTTGCTGGTAAGGTTAGACTACTGTAAATGGCCTACAGATAACATAAATTTAACCCCTTCACACTGTTATGCATACCGTACTGTAGTATAATTCAATCCCATACAGTACTTTTTGCATAAAAATTTTATCATGAACACTCGAACTATACTTGAGTATTACGGTAAATAAGCCATTGTAACACAATATATTAATGTTGTTACACAATTTTAAGGTATTGGCACTTGGAAATAAGTACACCGTACTCCACTAAGCGTAAAAAATTATACTGTATATGACAAGAAAAACTCATGCCGGACCACAGATGGTGCCAGACACGGAGCAGGGAGGTGTGACCTGCACGGGATGCACTCATACATGCAGACTCTTACACAATACAGGGTGACAATTAATGCATGGACACACTTGTTTTGTTGATTGTTTTATTTGGATAGTATAACTTTGGGATACCAAATCTTTAGAACACAGTAGGGAAATATTGGTGAAATTCACACTTCTTCATTTATTGAAAAGGATTGATGTTAGGTAGGAAATTTCCATTAGAACGTATACATTCACAGCAGTGGAAGTAGTAGTTATCTGTAAATTGCTGAAATGTTTCAGAAGAATTCTGACTATTTCATTTCTGATGGTGTCTTTCAGATCAGGTAATGTTTTTGGTCTATAGTATTTGCATACAGTAGACCTTGAACTTCAAATAGCTCCATAAAATATAATCTGGAGATGTAAGGTCAGATGATCGGGGTGGCCACGGAATGTCCCAAAATAACTGAAATAACGTGATTTGAAAAAGTCTCTTGCAATATTTGCCTTGTATGGCAAGAAATGAAGAAATGTGAATTTCACCAATATTTTCATACAGTGTACCGTGTTTTTCTAAATATTTGGGATCCCAAAGTTATTCTATCCAGATAAAACAAATAATCAACAAAATAAATTTGTCCATAAATTAATTGTCACCCTGTAGTATACAAAATAGAGGTTGCATTAATGTATAAATATCCTCACCAACTTTGGCATACAGCTGTGAGAGTGTTGTAATTAGATTTGCAGTGAAGAGAGGAGCCATGGTAGGCAGGGCTCTCAGGGCTGCTGCAAAATGTGGTGGGGAAGATGGGGTCAGCTGGAAGTAATCCTGCACCAAGCCTCGGCACACTTCTCCACTCCACCCACTTAGGCAGCACATTTGCTGTTTGTAAAACAGTACAATTAGAACTTAAAACATACTGTATTTTCAATTTGCATCAACAGCTCAACAAATATCAATATTAATTGAAAGACTGTGACTGAGTGACTCTGACTGGAAGCCTTATGACCCATCAACACTAACAAAGACAGTGACTAACTGACTGCTAGCTTTATGACCCAAACCATCAACATTAACAAAAGTGTTTATTTAATATGAGAATTAAAACAAAAGAAAAAGTGCATATCAGCACACACACGCAAGCACGCACGCATGCACACACACACATGGGAATTAAGACAACAAGCATCCAGTGAGGGTCTTGTGTGACTGCATGGAGGTGAATTAAGAGATCAGCTGTTGAGGAGCTTATCACTTGGCAACACTGGTGCATGTTACACTCCTTTCCAGTCCATCTCTCTAATCACCCACACCTCTCTGCTTTCTCACTCCATATTTTAAAATGTTATGTGATGTAATGTTGAAGGGATACAACTTTGCTCATTTATACTTATACATGTACTTATAACAATCTCCCTAAAAATACTTTAGCTATCGTGTTTATTCAAGACATTTTCAGGTCATGAGACCCACTAATCCCCCACCCAAGAAAGGGTGACCCGACATTCCATCAGAAGGTCAGTAATATGAGACCACTAATCCCCCACCCCTACCTCCACCTGACATTGAGTCAGGTCAGGCCCCCCGCCCCCAAAAAAAATACTTTAACTTTCACCTTTATTCAAGACGTTTTCAGAAAATTCTCTCGATTTTTAACCTCAGAAAATTTGTTCCTAAAGCCGAAAATTTTCGACTTTGGGAATGATTTTCCGAGCAAATTTCAATTCCGGCTATCGGAGAGTTCCGGGTTTGAGGGATTTCGGCTAACGGAGATATTACTTTATATCTATGATGTCATTAGCATTGAATAAAAGTTTGAGATCCACATAATGAAGGTCAATCTTGTTTCACTTAAAACAACAAGAAATAATAATCACAAGCATATTTACAATGACTGAAATTTACTCTGTACCCGGAAAGTTAAAACAAAAAAAAGTTAGTCTAATTTGTGTCAGGATGAAAACTGAAAACACAAAAAAAAAATGTATTTAAAATAGCCTTATTCATGTATGGCAAATGGCAAAAGGTCAGAAAGTCGATAAACTGCACAGTTGCCAATTCATCGATTTTGTTGTTCGATATGACTATCTATATTTGCTGTACGTATGCTATGCCTTGAGGGCTTTCTATCAGCCAAATCCCATTAATGAAATTGCATACTTTTAATTACTGCATTAAAATTTTGCAACTCATTTGGTTTGGCAAACCTGCCTTGAACAGTAGTTGTCCAGTTGCACTTGCTCTGAGTGACACTTGTGTTCAGTTCAAGGTTGTACTAATCATATAGTTGACATGTAATGAACTAGTACGGATCTGCTGAAGCGGTTAGTATTTATTATGTGCAGTTTACCATTTTTAGCATTTAAAAAACAGTAGATTCATGAATATATGCTTTAAGAAAATACTTTAACTAAATTTTTTTAATCAAAATGAAGGGAGTAGTACAGTATCACAAGCAGTGGTCATTGGAAAATCCAGTTAGTTACCTGAAAATTTTAATAAAATTCCACAAATAGTTGTCATTCCACGACACTTCCCACACAATATTTCAAAAATATGCAATTTTGAGTGCCATCCCTTAGCAATGGTTGCTATGGCAATTGCAGTGTTGCCAATTCTTCTCAGTGTTTGAATTGCCTGATAGTCTACATAGCTGGGATGACTACCTAGACAGCCAGGCTATTCAACCATAAACCCATAAACATTTAACAACTGTATGTCTGTAACTAGTCCTACAGTTGCTAATATGTATATGGGTTCATGGCTGAATAGCTTGGTTGTCTATGTCGCTGCCATGCCTGTGTAGACTACCGGTGACGGCTTAATAGTCACAGCGACTGTACATGTATTTCCAAGCAGTAATAATAGATAATACCATAATTATTAAGCCCAAACCTGCATCCATACTGCTGTGGCCTCCAACACAGAAACATTATGTGTAGCAATGGCCAGAGACACCAAAGCTGATAATATGCGGAGTTTATGTGGCGTACGGGGATCATGTGATGATGGATGGAATAAAGTGATAAACAGAGAATTGCGAGAAGCGGTGTCCACAATCTTTCCTAGGTGCTGTCCAAGTTCTCTCACTACCACCAATTCCTCAACAGGTCCTACTGCCTGCAAGAGAAATGTTTGTGTTAGTATTTATTTATAATAATTATACAGCATGTCTTTTTTTTATACATTACAAAGTTTCACTGTTCAACCAGTAGAGATTTAGGGTAGTTTCAAGCCTGAAGGCATGAGGTCACTTCATGCCTTTACTTACTCTCACTTGCCTCAATGCACACTTTATACTGGTGATATTCCAGCTGCCTCCATATTTATAGCACTTAAGGATCTTCACAAAAGTCCTTGTTTATATTTTCTTACAAGACTAATAGGGATGCAGTAGCTGATAGGATACAGTACATGTACTTGCTTTCTGTCTAAAGGTCATTGGTTCGTGCTTGGGCAAACCCAGTCCAACCAGCTGTAAATGGGTGCCTAACTTTGTAGCTGGGGAAGTGAATGTAAGAAAATGGCTAAGTCTACAGTGATCAGGACCTCCATTACCCTTATCAGATTAGGACTGGGTTTACGCGGATATTTTTTACGCGGCACCTGTCAGAAGAGATAATTATTATTTACACTGTAAATTTCATCATGTACGCGGCAAGCAGCAGGGCGCTGACGTCAGACTGGCGCCAGTGACGTCCCAGACTGTGATTGGGCCACGTATCCTTACCACCCACGCACCCCCTACGCCGCGCGCTGTGATTGGTCTAGTTATCCTTGCCACCCTCGCCACCCACGCTCTCCACCGCCACGTCAGTCTCACTGTCTCCGTGTATATTCACTCGTGTCAAGGAACCAGTGCTTTATTTTCTTTCTACGCAATGGCTTCCACGAGGCTCAGTCTTGCTGTGGCATTGGAGAATGCAAGAGAGGCTGCACAAGGTGTTAGAGCTGCAGGCTTCTCCAAGACTACCAATGACGACATCCTGGAGGTAATCAGGCAACCTGAGGTGACTGCGGACGAGATGTTGGAAGATGATGACATCAGTGAGCAGCTTGGTGGTACAGAACAACAAGAGCAGAAACGAACACAAGCTGATGTGAAGGATGTCATCGAGTTAGCGAGAAAATGAAGCTCATCCTTGCCAAAGACCCAGTCAACCATCGCTACGAAGTGTCTAATAACCATCTGTTGAAATGCCAGGAGCCCTATGTTCAGCTGTATCACGACCACATCAATGCTAGCCGTCAACAACACATCATCGAGTTCTTCACCCGCCAACCACCACAGCCACCCCAAGTCAGTGATAGTGAGGATGAGGATGTGGACTTCAATGGGTTTGACGAAGAGGCCCTGCTAGACTCTGTGGTGGATAGAGAGGCAGGTGAGGGCCAATAATCTGCCCTCTGCCTCGGAACCAACCAGTGCACCAGAGACTTCGTTATTCCTTAGTAATGACACAGAATTTGAAATTGCAACCCCAACTGCAACTGGGACAATCCCAGAACCAGAAATTTGATACGGACAGTCCCTCGCTTAGTTCAGATTTCGTCCGATTTATCTGAAATCCGGATTAAAGGGGTCCGAATTAACGAGGGTCGACTGTGTGTGTATATATAATATATATATATATATAGATATATGTATATATGTATGTATGTACGTACGTACGTATGCACACACACAAAGTATTCGTCTTTGTTAAGTGCCGTGAACCTCCATTGGGGACTCCCCGTGCCAACTATGTGGTCGGAGTAGCATTTTACCAAATCCAGCTAGGATTTTTATACACTGTTAAATTTTTTCTTCCCTACAATATTTTGACTGCACAAATCTCTCTGTAAATACAGTACTCTACAGTATTTAGTCTCAGAACCCAAATACATTATCCTATGTAAAAGGAATTCTTCCTTCATAAAATAACATAAATGTGACTCACCCTAATCTTGGAAGAATTGGAGTCTCTACAGCAAAATATAAACTGATCCATGATGTGCTGCTGGATGTCATGCAGATGGGGAGAAGGAGGCATGTGGAGCACCTCCTCTGTTGAATTAATAACTCAAGTTATATCTCTAAAGTTCTAATTTGTTATGAATTTCAACCAGTTTTATACAGTATACATTCTGCATTATCATAAACATTCTTCATGCACTAGAACAAAATGTAATCACATTCAATATTTATACAGTACTTTAGACATTTTTAACTTTAGTGACCATACTATAGTATACAGTCCAGAACCAATGAAATTACACAAACATAAATGTACAGTACATTCTTACCCAGCTTGCGCAGACCTTGTCGTACACATGATGGGAAGTCACTTCTCTTCAATTCACTCAAGTCAACTGACATATTCAAGAGATTTCATTAATCTGCAAAATAAGATCAAGATACACTCTATATTGTGAAAATTTGCCTGAATCAATTTTAAAAGTTTTGTTAAAGGGCAAATAACATTTAATAAAACTTGTAAGTGGAAATAAAGTCTTTGAAGGACTGTTAAAAGATGGGATGGACATACAGTACAGTACCCTTATTCATGAATTAGGCTGGGATAAAAACTATCTGGCTTGTTTCTGCACTTTGGTGGGTGCTAAATTATATCATCTTCTCCCAAGTTGCACCAGACTGTGTCTTAAAGCCTCAAACCATCGATGACGTTCCTGAACATTCTCCTAGTCAACGCCGGGTGACGTTCCTGAACGTTCTTAATTTTCAGGCATATTTTAAATGTCCAAGCAGAAGGAAATACTTTGTATGGGATATTTGTGCAATTGGTAGTTCAACTCACATGTATTTGTCTCAAGACTCGTGCCTCATGGCCAGTTACCCACCAGATATTGTGAAGGATGCATGTCCTTAGACCTTTCTTATGACCCACCTTCCTCCACCACACCCAAGAGCAAGCAAAGGCATTTGCTTGACAGTTTTGCTGTTCATCAAGAGTTGCTTGATTTGAATGGCCTTAATATAGTATCAGGTTGACAAAAACATTGATGTGGAGGAAACAGAACCCAGATGATGTTGAGTTTGTCGAGGCTGCAAGGACAGTGATAGGACTACAGACTGGAACTCCCTCCTCCTCCCCACACAGCCAGCCATCATGTAACAAAGACTTCCACACGATCAAAAAATTCTAAATTCAGTAGAAGTACATGTAAATAGTGTATATATTTGAAAATACAGTCGTGATAAGCTTTGTGCTGCCTGAATATTCCTACTGTACACAGTAATGATAAGCTTTGTGCTGCCTGAATATTCCTACTGTACAGTATTTTATAGTTCTTTTGAGGAAAATAAAAATATTTTGTGTTTTGTAGTAGATATAAGATAAAAATATGATATAAAAGGGCCTTCAAGTAAGAACCGCGTGTTGCAAGTGCGTGTCAACATCACTTTCCGCTCTCTGTGGGCTGTGTGTAAAAGCTTCAAACAGGACATCTTTCATCACTCCACTCTGCTCATCAACACTCCAGACAACTCTCCAACCATGCTATACACAAAATAATTTTTTTTAATTAATTATAAATAATGCAAATTTGTTTAAGCAATAACATACAGTAGTCCCTCGGTTAATGAGCGCCACGGTTAACGAAATTTCAGTTAACGAATTACCTTCCATAAGAATCTTCAATTCGGTTAACGAACAAAAATTTGATTAACAAAATCCTTACGAAAATCACGTTTTGTTGTGAGCATCAGCTGGTCAGCTGATGGCCCAGTCTGCCAATTCAGGAATCTGTTCTAAGTTTAAATTCGTTTCCAATGGATTAAATATCAATAAATTTCAGCTTTTTAATATTTTTGAATGTTTTATATTAAAATTATTAGTCATTTTAACATTTATTTAACATATTGATAATATATGCAGTACAGGGAACTAGTTAGTTGTGCACCCATCAGATGCGTGGGTCGGTCACCAGGCGTCAGTCTGGCTTTGTTTTCTGTGAAGAGAGCACCTATTTTGTTGCTGTCTTGAATATTTTTGCATTTTTCATTGAAATTATTGGTCATTCTGAACTTTAGTTATTTTGCATGTACTTTTCGGTGAACTGGAACCAATTACCCAATATCCCATTGAAACAATGGATTCGGTTTACGAAATTTTCGGTTAACGAACGACCTTTTGGAACGAATTGTGTTCGTTAACTGAGGGACCACTGTAGTTTTAATTTTGGAGTTGGATTATGTAGTATTTAGCCTACTGGAGACACCAACTAGGGGATTCATTAGACTATGGGAGACCACAACTTCACAGATAGGATGCAGGCTGATTTTTTTTTTTTTGCAATTTTTCAGAGAAATAAAAAAGCATCTTATATGCGGTGAAATATGGTACCAACAATATCCTATTGGTACCACAAAGTGGAGATTTGAAGTAAAGGGAAATTTTGGGGTAAAAACACAAAAAACTGATGAAACAAAACCTAACCAGAAAAACCAGAAGGACCTTACCTAACCTCCTAGCCAATGGCCCCAGTGTGCGTAAAAAAATTACTTTAATTAACATATGCTAGAGGATAAAGTGAAGTTATTTGTCAGAGGAAGTGGTGGAGTATAGTCTTGTGATCGCTGTATTCGGCTTGAGAACATGTACAGAGTGAAACATTGGTGGTACAGTTCTTTCTTATTTTGCACCATTTTCACATACAGTACACGATGAATGATTTGCCAATCCAAGGAAGAACATGCACGCAGAGAGAAAACATTTTGTGAGTAGCCAACTAAAATTCAAGACTTGGAGGATGCACAGGAGTACATTATTAGGTGGCACCAAGAGCACTGCTGATTGGTGGGACATAGTCACATGACACCGAGATTGGCAGAACATACTCACGTGAGTCAGATGGAATGCAATTTCCTGTGTTAAACTGAAAGTCCAAAATCCTAAAAAGATATAAATTTGCAACGGAACATAATAGAACATTTTCTGGATCTCAAGATTTTAACCTTACTTGTTACGTAGTTCATTTTTTATAAGTTCTTCTTTCGTGTGCGGTGGAGGTGGTGTGTGGATTAGTGGATCTCATGTTATTGACCTGACTTGATGTTATGTAAGGTCACCCTTTGTATATATGCCTCTCTCAGTTCCTGTAAATTCAGTTGCCTCTGAAGATGTCTCGAATACAGACGAAAGCTAAGGTGTTAGTGTGTTTTCCTTTTCCTGTGTTGTTTTATCGACATTTATCTTGTCCATGTTTCCATTGTGGATCTACATGATTGTAATATATATATATATATATATATATATATATATATATATATATATATATATATATATATATATATATATATATATATATATATATATATATATATATATATATATATATATATATATATATATATATATATATATATATATATATATATATATATATATACATACACAGTATTACCCCGCCTAACGCGGTTTCACTTAACGCGTTTTATCATATACGCGGTGCCTCGCCAGAGCTGAACTTTCACTTAACACGGATTTTTTCCACATATACACGGTGAGTGTCCGGTGAGTGCCCGGCTCGAGAAGCTATTTTTAGATTTGCGCCACCCACCACCCTGCCTGACTGCCTGTTTTAGCTCATAAAATTCATACAAATTACCCGGCCAGAATATAATTTACATTGCTGGAATTCTTATAATTTGGTGATCATTTTGAATATAAACATCATATATTTAGCATTAGACATACAAATTTTAGATAACATTTTTTCTCTGGGTAACTATGTTATCTTTTGTGCAAAATATATGACATTTATATTCAAAATATTCCTGGTCTTACAAGGAATCCAGCAATGTCAATTATATTATCCTAACTTTAGTTTGAGGTATTATTTATTACAAAAAAGTTAAGTATTCTGGTTTTCCCACACATCTCCTTGGGACGGTTGGTGGGGGGTGGGGGGGAGGGAGGGACCGACCGACCATCTGTTACCCTGTGAAGAATATTTATTTTTTTTTTTTATTAACAGAAGATATTTGTTTTAGCTCATAAAATTCATACAAATTACCCGGTCAGAATATAATTTACATTGCTGGAATTCTTATAATTTGATGATCATTTTGAATATAAACATCATATATTTTGCATTAGACATAAAATTTTTAGATAAAATGTTTAATCTGAGTAAGTATGTTATCTTTCGTGCAAAATATATGACGTTTATATTCAAAATATTCCTGGTCTTACAAGGAATCCAGCAATGTCAATTATATTATCCTAACTTTAATCTGAGGTATTATTTAATACAAAATGTTAAAATCTAAATTTTTCACCCACTCTTTCTCTTGAAGGGACGATTGGTGGGGGGTGGGGCGGAGGGTTGGGACTGACCGCGCGGTTGGAAGAGGGGGTGGAGGCAAGGTGGGGTACTTTGATTGACAGATAGTGTCGTGAAGATTATTTTTTTTTTTATTAACTGAAGATATTTGTTTTAGCTCATAAAATTCATACAAATTACCCGGCCAGAATATAATTTACATTGCTGGAATTCTTATAATTTGGTGATCATTTTGAATATAAACATCATATATTTTGCATTAGACATACAAATTTTAGATAAAAAAATTTTTCTGAGTAACTATGTTATCTTTTGTGCAAAATATATGACATTTATATTCAAAATATTCCTGGTCTTACAAGGAATCCAGCAATGTCAATTGTATTATCCTAACTTTAGTTTGAGGTATTATTTATTAAAATTTAGTGGTTTTCCCCCAAAAATTTCTCAGAGAGGGAAGAGCCGGCAGTGTAGTGTGAGAGGGAGTTGAGTCCATTATTTGAATGGACATTAACTTGGCGACTGTATTTCTCTATTTCTCTTAAGTATTAATTGTGTGCATGTACCATCATAAAATTAAGATGTTATTTTTACTACAACATAGTTATGTGTCTTCAAAAGTGGAGTTTGGGGGTCGGGCCAGTTTCTATTGGAATTAATCCCATATGTTCTGTTGTTCACTTAACGCGGATTTCACTTAACACGGGACCCTCTGGGTTCTATTGACCGCGTTAAGTGAAATTTCTTCATATATATACAGTCAATCCTCATATTACGCGGTCCCGCATTCCACGTTTCACCGTTAACGCGGTGCCTTGCCAGAACCTAACATTTTCACATTCCGCGGTCGTGAACCCCATTACGCGGAGAGCGGCTGGCAAGCTGCGCCATTTTTGGATCCAAACCTCCCGCCATCCGCCATGTTGTGTAAGAGGCGCGAAAATGGTGCGCACAAGGTCGCCCAGTCATCAAAACATGACCAGTTCTTCACCCGCCACCCACTACAGCCGGTCCAAGTCAGTGATAATTATAGTGAGGATATGGACTTATATGAACTTTGGGGGGTTTGACAAAGAGGCCCTGCAAGCCTC